CAAAAAATAGAAACAATAAGGCCAAACAGCCCAATTTAATAGAAATTAGAAACTTCTAATAATAGAAATTAGAAACTACTAATAAAAGAAATTAGAAACAACTAGGTGTGGGTATGAATCCATACACACTAGAGCCTGAGTGTGGGTATGGAACCCCACACTCGTGGCTAACTAACTATTTCTTTAGCATTGAAGTGGCTCGGTCTAAGGATGGACTTTTTATCTCTCAACAAAAGTATGCGCTAAACTTGCTCACTGAAACATGCAAGATGGGTGCAAGACCAGTGGCTACTCCTATTGATATGAGTCACAACAGGTAATACTGTTTCTTGGAGAAGCAAGAAACAATCAGTTGTTGCCAGATCTTCAGCTGAGTCCGAGTACAGAGCTATGGCTCATGGAGTCTCTGAGTTGCCTTGGCTTCGATCCTTGATGGAGGAATTGCGTGTTGAGTATGATAAGCCATTGATGCTATATTGTGATAATCAGGCTGCCATCAACATTGCTGACAATCCGATGCAACATGATAGGACTAAACATATTGAAGTTAACAAGCATTTTATCAAATAAAGAGTGGCTTCTGGAGAAGTTTGTCTATCATTCATTACATTTGAAGAACAGTTAGCTGACATTTTTACCAAGGGAATCTCCAAGGCCAAACTACAACATGACACTGGCAAGCTGGGCATGATTGACATCTATGCTCAGCTTGAAGGGGAGTGTAGAGAGAATGGGCCGAATGGCCCATAGGATGCTTTTATTTGTTTATGTTTATGTTTCTTTTGTTAATGGGCCTTTTATGCTTCTTTATGTTATGCTTAATTATGTTAATCGCCCAATTAAGGGCCTCTTTGTAAATACCAAAACTTTGTAAATTATGTTTTAATGAAAAGGATTAGGGAAGGGAGAAACATTCGATTGACAATTCTCCCAAAACCCTATTGCCACCAACTTCTTCTTCTTCTTCTTCTCTCCTCTTCTTTTCTCTTTGCTACTGATATCTAATACTTTTTCACTACTTTTAAATCAGTCCTCTCATTCCTTTGGACTGTTTTTCTTCTGGAAGGAAATGGCTTCTGGATCTTTAATGGTGAGCGGAAGAAGTTCAATTGGTTGACATTGAATATGGACGTGAAAGTTAATTTGGACAAATGAACTGCTAATGCCTTTGCTGATGTTCTTGCAAAATAAGTGGTGGGAAGAAGTGAATTATTTTGTGCTCAATTGTAATTGTTTTTTGTTTGTTGAGGAGAGTTAAGAAAGTTTACCTCTCCTTTTCTTGTATTCCTATTGTTTAATTAATAAATTTTTTCTGTTATCGATAAAATAAAAAGAGTGAAGTTGAGAAGCTGAAGAGCAGTGTAGTGCATGATAGGGAAGGGGTTAGGAGGAAGGACAGAAAAAAAGAGATTAGAAGACGGGTGATTCTCAGGGTCTCATCACAGTTTTTTTTCCAATGAAAATTATAAGCTGGAATGTGTGAGGTTTGGGAAGGTAAAGAAAAGAAGATTAGTAAGGGGAGTCCTACAGAGAGAAAAGCTAGTTCTAGTTTTACTTCAGGAAACAAAGGTCTTAAAGTTGTTAAAAGGTGGATTAGGAGTTTTTGGGTTAGTAGGGGCTTAAGTTGGGCATTTACATCTTCTTGGGGTGCCTCAGGGGGAATTCTCAAGATGTGTAAAAATGAAGAAATGGAGTGTCTAGAGTAATTGATTGGACAGTACTCAATTTCAATAAAAGTAAAGAGGTTAAGTGATGGAAAGGAATGGGCTTTAACAAATGTCTATAGCCCCAACTCTGTAGAGAAAGATTTTTTCTCGGAAGAACTAAGTGCCATTAGGTTACTAGAAGAGGAGAGATTAGTTATATTAATAGTGTTAGAAATAACACATACCTTGTAAAATTAGAATTTTCTGAAGCGAAAGAGGCTGCTAAATACTCTGCAACTGACACCATCAGACTCCTAGGAGGTAAGTCCATCTCCGCCAGGTACTCTCATTCTCATTGACCCATTTGTCCCTATTTCTATTGATGTTCTTGGGGATGACCTTGACATCCCCATTGCCCAGAGAAAGGGTGTCATGTCATACACAACAAAATCAAGGAAAATCACACTCACTAACTTTGATTCCCTCAATTGAGAGCTCAAAACTGAGAAAAATTAACTTGGTTTGCATGAATGAGCATTTTTTCAGTTTGGCAGAAAAATTCTCTCTACTCAAAACATCAAAAACTTCACATAGATGTTGTGTGTGTTCATCAATACTTCTACCATAAATAAGAATATCATCAAATTATACAGCAACAAAATTGCCTGAAAAGGGCTGTAAAAGCTGAGTCATCACTGTTATGAAGGTAGATGGTGCGTTGGACAACTCAAATGGCATGACTAGTCATTTGTACAAACCTTCCTTGGCCTTGAAGACTATCTTCCACTCATTGCGTAGCCTGATGCAAATTTGATGGTATCCGCTCTATCTTGGTAAATAATGTGGCTTGACCGAGTTGGTCCAGCATCTCCAATGAAGGTATGGGGAATTGGTTCTTTAGAATGATCTTGTCGATGGTGTGACTATCTACATATTTTCCATGAGCCATCCTTCTTGGGTATGAGGAAGACGGGTACAACGCAGGGGACTCATATTGGGTTGTATTTGTCCTTTTCTGAAGCAGCTCATTGACTTGCTGTTGTAGTTCTACATGTTCTCAAGGGTTGAGCCTATAGTGGGGACGGTTCAGTAGTGGTGCTTAGGGGATGAGATCGGTCTGGTGTTGAATGTCTCATAGAGGGGGAAGATCATCAGGAAGCTTTTCAAGGAAGAGGTGCAAGTACTCATTGATAAGCAATTGTAGGCTTGTGGAGATTGCTAGTGCAACCTTGCAAGATGGACTTGCAACAAGGGCCAGCATCATTCCCTCCTTGATCTCCCACTTAAACGCCTTGCAAGGCATCAATCTGAATGCAATCCCAAGGGTCTTCTGCTGATCTCGTTGGGGTCGCGATGGTCTAAGTATATACTTCGTGCCTTCCTTGACGAGACCATTTGTATTATTTCTCTCATCATGGTTGGCACTTCTGTCATACTGCTACGGTTGACCCAGAAGTAGATGACAAGCATCCATCTGTATAACATCACACTACACTTCATTAGTATAAGACTTACCTATGGCAGAGCTGAACAAACAACACTTAGTGAATTTTACTTCAATACCCTTCTTTAACCAGTGGAGAAAGGGTGGGGATGAGTACTGGTAGGCAACTAAAGCTTCTGAACTGCTTCCTCTAACATGACGTTCTCGCAATTGCTTCCATCAATCACAATGCTGCAAACTTTGCCACTAATAAGGCATGTAGAATGGAAGATGTTGTTGCGAAGCCAGTCTTCTTCCTTCAGGGGTGCCAACAAACTTATTCACATGACTTGGGCTTCTCCACGAACTCAATGTTCTCCTTTGCATATCAGTTGGGAGATCGTTGTGCTGGGGCTCTGCATCGTTGTGCATGACTCATTTCAACTTGTACTCATTGGTGGTATGTCTGATGACCTCATTGCACCTAAAGCATCAGACACCCTTCTATGAGTCTAATCTCACTAGGGGCTTTGTTGAAGATGTTGTGCTTGGGTGGTTGGGGTCGTGGTCACTGGCTTGCTACTCTATGAAGGCTAAGATGTAGCAGGCTTGAGGAGTTTTTAGGACCATAGCTTTTCCATTCCTCATGCTACCTATTGAGCATTAGAGATGGAGTAGATGTGTGGAGCCACTTGCAACTGCTATCTTAAAGCTGGTTTCAGTCCTTTATACTGGATCATGGTGAACTCCTTGGGTTCTTACAAACTCATTCAGGCTGGAAGAGACTAAATCTCGAACATGCACTCGCTCACTGTCTTGGATCCTTGACATAAAGACTGAAACTAGATGAAAAGGCTCTGATGATAGATTGTGGGAAGGAATTCTCAATTTCTTTTTGGCTTTCATAGCATCTTAGGTCTGGATCTTTGGCTTGCCCTGTTGGCAGCAAGTTCCAGGGGAACCTTCTTCTCTTTAGGGACTGACTTGTAGTAAAAAAACTTCTTGACACTGCTCAACCAGTCAACAAAATCCTCTAGGCGAACGGTGCCTGTGAACTCGGCAATCTCACACTTGATACCACCATCCCAGTGACGAGGATGGTGCCTCTTTGCTGTTGCTTGGTGCCTGTGGTAACGGGGTTCTCGTTTTGGTGACTCCCAAGAGGAAGATATTGAGGCTTCTTCATACTCCTCCATGTCAACTCAACAAGGTGAGTGAAAAGGGGATGGAAGGAGAGACAGATGAGCACTTCTGGAAGCTCTCTTGCCTCATTGAAAGCACCCAGTTTGTAAGTTCTTGGACTTGAGTAGAAATCTGGCCAATTCGTCTATCTGTGTTGGATATGCCTTCCTCCAAGTCTTTCATCGAGGGAGCTTTCCTTTGCAAGCTTTGAATGGAGCTTCCTTTGGTAGTGTGCCCTCCACATCTAGAAGCCATTATAGCTCTAATACCAGATGGTGCGGCCGTAGTCCCTAAACGAAGGAAGACTCGCAAAAGACAACCAACGGCAATGTAAACACTGCAACAACTGTAGGGTTCATTACTGGTATGCCCAGATCATGCAATCTTGGTTGGATAGATAACTGAACTATGATAGCTGGATACCCATACAAAGGTATCTATATTGTGTTGGACACTTTGGTTTTTAGTGAAAATTCTATATCAAACACATGGTGTAGCTATGTCCTTAATATATCTGGGTAAATAACTAAATAACCTAATTCAATGGTTCCAAAATCAAGTAAAATGGGCAAGTTTTGATCCTTTAAATTTAGGCCACAAATAGTGTAATGGATCTAATATTTCTCTCTGATTTTAAGTTGGGGCCAACATTACTTTGAAATCATCTCATTTGTATCCTACTTCAGGAGATTCACTCTGGATGCCAAAGATCTAGTAACATGGTGAACCACCATATTTTCTCTTTGCAGTTTCATGTATTAAAAGAAATTGATGGCATATCTGCTGAGACTATGTTGTTGTTGTGGAGCATGAATGAGAGGTACAACCCTGATTCAAAATTCAAGATCTACTTTGAGACATTGCCAGAATCATTTAATACAGGTATTCCATATCTATGTTGTATGCTCTCTTTGCAACATTTGGTTGCCTCTCAGAATGCTTGTGTAACTAATAAGTGTACATGAACTAATTCACTCCTTTTCTTCTTGGCAAGGATTTAACATTTGTTACTTTCATAAAATCAGTGTAATATTTTTTTTCTTTGCAAATTCTCCATTGCTTACAAATGGCATGTTTTCTCAATAAGCTGGAATCATCATCCTCATCATCATCATCAAACCATTAGCTGTCTTGGCAAATCGTAACAAAAAAAATCCTCTTGTTGCCATTCCACTCTATATAGGAAACAAAACTCTGTTAAAGGGAGTTTCCTGTTATTTTTCAACTATTTCAACAGATGTCCTTTTGGCCTAATGCTTGTCCTTTAGAAGCCTTCAATTTACACCAAAGTTTTCATTCTCATGCAATTATTTGTCTTATTTTAGCCCTCTTAATATTTTCTAGTGCATATCTTTTTGACTTTTATCCAAGATCAATATTTCAAATCAAACTTTTTTCCCCCTCCCTGCTTTTACTAGACATCCTTGACAAGGATTTAGGACAGATTTGTAGTGGATCTCTAGTATTAAAGTTGAACAGATCCCACAGAGGTCATGGTTTTAGGGTTTGTAAGGTTCAGTACTTCAACAGTAGCACATTAGGACCATGTTTCACATTTTAGCTTTATTTGATGACATTCACTGAAATCTTGCCATTTTGTCAGATGGCATGAAGCATACATAATTGTTTTTTTCCTTGTATAATCTATATACAATGGATATATAGACACCCTTGACAAGGATTTAGAACACATTTGTAGTGGATCTCTAGTATTAAAGTTGAACAAATCCCAAGGTTTTGTAAGGTTCAGTACTTCAACTGGTGCACGTTAGGACCATGTTTCACATTTCAGCAATATTTGATGACATTCACTGAAATCTTGCCATTTTGCCAGATGTCATGAAGCATACATAATTTCTTTTTTCCTTGTATAATCTATACATAACGGATATTTCAAATGGCAATGATCAACTAAATTCTAAATATTCATGGTTTAAATTTTCAAACATTGCCAATATATCACAGATATTTAGCTAAAATAAGTTGAAGTTCTTGGAAATTATTTTTTAAAAGAAAATGGATTACTATTGTCAATTTGATTTATTATTCACTATAACTCATAAAAGAAAAGGACATTTAATTAGAAAAGGGGTTCTTATTCTAGTAAACACATGTAATAACAAAAAAGGCAGAAACCAAAATATTGCAACTTGGCAAGTGAATGAAATATGTTGAGAAGAGAAAATGACATTATCAAAATAACAAAAAAAAAAGACAAAAGAGACAGACAAACAGACAGGCAGACAGACAGAGAGATTGGTGACTTATTGAATTTTATTAGAAACTGACATGGTTGGGCAAAATATTTTAATTGTGTTGATGTGCAATACCATGGCCATAATACTCATGATAGATATGATTTTGAGTTACTTAAGAACTCTGTGGTATTGAAATCTACTATCAAGGAAGAAGATCAAAATAGAAGAGCTGTACTTGATTATTCATGTTTTTATATGCATATTTTGTATAATTTCCAATTCTAAAGACATGTTTTTTCCCTGATGGTAATGAATAAATGCATCAATTGATTGGTATATCTATTTAAGTCACCTAATCTTCTCTTATTTAATATACAAAGTTGTTTCTCATGGTTTTGTTGAGTATTAAATATACAATTATACTTCTTTTAACAATCCCTAAACTTTCATTAACAAACTCCATGTTTATAGTAATCTTTTGTAAGTTTTCTACATTTTCCATTGTAAGATGTCCATCAATATTGAAACTGTGAACCATGGTTGGGATAAGATTTGATTAGGGTTTGGAATGGAACTTATGACTTTAGTTGCTAGCATTGTTTACACAGAGGATAAAGTAAGAAAACTATCTGGCAATATGAGAAACTTTAGAAAGGAAATGCAAAATCAGTGAAACCAAGGAACTGAAGGGAATTAGAGTGAATGGCCCAAAAGGATTTTTAGGGGAAAGGTTTTTAAAGTGGGTGTCCAGCTGAATTTTGATTTATCTCAAGAGAATTAATGTTGTGTTTGGATTAGGGTTAATATGGAATTTGTGGCAGAACTAGAATTGCCAATTCCTATCTCCCACACAGTATGGCTTCATTTGGCTAGGGGGGATTTTAAGTGTTTGGATTCCACATCCTTTTTTCAGAGCTCAGCATAGAGGGGGCGGTAGTCATTTTAACACTTAGTGGTCTGATGCCATCAAACCCTTTCTTTATTAGAAATTGATTGTTTTATTAATTTAGAAAAGAATGGTATATAAACATGAGTATACTGTGCAGCCCATAGAAGCACTACCAAAGCTATCCCTAAGCACTTTCCTTTATGCTGTTACAAGTTACTCTCTTGGGAGCTCATGCAACAACATAGAGCCTTTGTTGCTCCTTATCTTGCCAATTTGTTTGCCAAATGCCAACCTGGTCATTGACCTATATGTCCATGTGAAAGATATATTAGTCTCCTTTGCCAGCCTTATACCTTCCTTGCTGCTTTCCTATATATGCAGTGCAAGAACCTACATTGCTCTCCTTACACCATCCCACTACTATTTGGGAGTCCCCTTCTGCCAATACATTAGTATATGTAAAGACTTTGCCAACCTTAGATCTTGCATGATAGCCATTGAGTCTATCTTTATGGAGTTACTCACTTTAATAGGACATAAAAATAGTGCTAAAATATTGCTTTTGAAGCCCTTGAACAGGCCACCTATGCTACATATCCCTAGATTACCCAAACTGTAGCCATCAAAGTTCATCTTGATTGAGTTTGCAGTTGGAGGGGTCTAAGTTTAAAGTGACCCTTCTAACAAATTAAATTTTAGCCACGGATAGAAAGTATCAGTAGAGTCATCACCATAGTTTTGAGTAATCCCTTTTTCTACAAGTCTAGCCTTAAGTGTCTCAATAGAACCATTTGGTTATACTTTGTAGTGTATACCTATCTACAACCAACAAGTTTCTTACTAGGGGGAAGAGGAACTGACTCCCAAGTATCATTCAAATGCAGGGCTGGAATTTCCTCTTCCATAGATGCCCTCCACCTAGAGTCAGTCATGGCCTCCTATAAGGAATAGAAATGTCTGATAAGTCTGAAATAAAGGAACTAAAAGAGATAAAGAGGTGTATGAAACAGAATTATTGATAGGATGAGCAGTGCAAGAACACTTACCCTTTTGATGAGCGATGGAATATGAAGATTAGAGGAAGCAGATCCATCAGATGCTTCAGCAGATGATGGTGGAGCTTGAGTAGGACAGTGCTGTGTGTAAACCTGTACAGATGGCTTTGGAGGTAACTTAGGAGAGGAAGGAGGCTCAACAAAAATAGGAATAAGAAGAGGTGAATTAGAGGTAGGTCCAATGGTGCACAAGTAGAAGATAAAAATAGGTACTTGTGGAGATTTTGTGACCTCATGTACTTTCTTTTTGCATTCTGGTAATTGTACATATGAAAATAAAAGAGGTTCTCTGAGGTGGGGGCCCATTCATTCTTGACACTCCTAATTTCTATTTTTAGCTTTTTCATTGTTACAGCTAGGAAAGTTTTGTTTTCTTTTTGATAGGTAAAGAAACTTATTAACAGCAAGGATCAACATTACAAACACCCAGGGAGAGGTGTGAGATTCCCCTCATCCTACAGCAATAAAGAAAAAACAGAAAATCAAATTACATTTGAGCCCAGAATAAGTGATCCCGAATAACCTCTAGCTTGGCTAACAAGTCAGCCATTCCATTGGCTGATCTCCTTTGCCATTGATACACCACTGAACAACCAGTGACAAGCCATTTAACCTTCTTAAGCTCATTCCTAAATTTCCAAGTGACAATCTCCGGATTTTGTAGCCAGCCCATTACTATCTTGGAGTCTCCTTCCACAATTAATCTGTTGAAATTCAACTCCCTTGCTAACTGTAAACCTTGGACAACTGCTAACAAAATTAAGCTTTAAAAACTCATTCACAGGAGGCGTCCAAGACACTACAGTCATCCTCCTTCTAGACGAGCTAGCAGCCACCTCACCCCAATTCCTCCACAAGTCATCAAAAGAAAATTGACAAAAAGAGTCCAAGCCTCCAAGATTTTCACTCAATGTATCACAATTGCCAAAATGCACTCCTTCACAACTTCTACACTCCTCTCCTTCACAAGGAAAATCCTTGCATTCTGTTCTTCCTACATAGTCCACAACACTCTGCCCTTGTGCACCTCCAAAGGATTCTTCACCTCTTCTTAGGCCACTGAAAAATGTGTGGCTCAAACAAACCTCTGACTTCTGTTGGTATAGTCCACCTGCTTCCAAAGAATGAAAAGAAACAATCCCAAATTTCCCTAGCAAAGGGACAAGACACAAAAAGATGGTAAGAATTCTCTCCATTATCCTTGCACAAGATGCACCAATTAGGGGACAAACAAAGATATTGTCTCCTTTTTTTCAAAAGGCGCAAATGTTGGGGGGGATGAGATTGCACCAAAACTCCTTGAAGGGAATAGGAAGAGCCTGGGCTGGAATACAAAGAGAGTTGAAAAACGGGGCACAAGTGAAGAAACCTCTTGGGTGTGGAATCCAAACACGTTTATCAGGCACAGAGCATAGTTTTCAAGGTGCCAAGGCAAGGCTAGGCGACAGGGGGCACCTTGTCACCTAGTCGCCTAGGCGATGGATTTTTTTAAGTAAAAACATGTATCCTAGGGTAGTTCCCTAGGTTCCATAATCATATTTCCTTAATAAATATCCATAATTTTCATAAGAAAAGTATAAACTTCATGTTAAAGTATAGAAAATCAACATATTCCAACATATTCATGAGAAGAAAAAGAAGAAATAAAAGAAAATTAAAAAAATATAGGGACTGAACCCCTATTTCTGTTATAGGAAAGAAAAAGAAGAAAAATCAGTATATACACACACAAAATTAGTA